AAGCTTCAAACTCAATTCGCATCTAGCCCGCTGGTGTATTTACGGTTGAAAGATAGAGTGCCTGATTCTGCCGCCTCTTTCTGTACTTACTCTTTCACTTGTTCCTGTGGAGCAAAGTATGTTGGCCGCACGACCAGGCGTCTGTCTGAGCGCGTCCGTGAGCGTCACCCTGCGTGGTTGCAAAGTAGAGCAATTAGGTCAATCACATCATACATATGATCATGCCTTGTGCATGCTTCACGGGTTTCGTGAAATATACATTATTATTATTATTATTATTACAAGTGCCGTCGTGTCGCACCTTGTCGACACTAATCACATTGTAAACGTGACCGAAGCGTTCCGACTCCTGTATAGAGTTAGGACGGGACACGTGCGGTTTCGCATTCCAGCCACAGCGGAGGCAGTTTTCATCCGTCTTCACAACCCCCTCTGTGTGCTCAGAAACAATTTGTGCAAGCACTCAGGCTCCCATGACCCGATCACCGACAAGTGACTTGTTATGCAACATCGGAGCAAGTGATAACTGGGGACCAATTATGAAACGAACTCTTGAATACTTTAATTACTTTCCCTCTGTTTTTCCTTGTAAATCCTTCTTTGATACTAGTCATATTTATTGTGTTGTAATGGCATGATTAGGACACACTCAAAACGAGCTTTTTGCCAATTTGTGTTCTCATTATGAGCTCCGTGGGACCCTTTAAACAATTAGAGATGTGACAATCCATCTTGCGGCTCAATAAAACCAGGAGTAGGCACGGGATACTCAGGTTGCATGTTTTCGTTTCGTCCTGCCATTTACTGGGATGTAGCCCGGAAGATGAACGCTCACGAATAACAATCTCTCTCCTTGGAGGTGAGATGAGGAATCTTTCCTTTTTCTTCCCCTTTTCAGACAGAAGGTTAAGGACTACTTTTCACAGTGATAGGCATCAGACGTGACCGCATACCACTGAAAGAATTCCGTACGACCGATTGGCCATGACCATTTTCTGTCCTGTGAAAACTAGGGAACACATGTACAAACTGACGAAAGTGCAAACGAGACTAGCGGTGCGCTCAAACTTCTTCAGCAACCGGTTAGTCAACTCATGGAATAAGTGACCACAGGAGTTGGTTGAGCTATGGAGCCCACATCATTTCAAGAAGGAGCCCGATAAGCGCTGGTTGAACTTAATTCCCGTAGTAGATGTACAGTGGGAATCACCCGCTCACAAGTGCAATAACCTGAACGTCCACTGGTCGAAGCCTAAAGTCCTGTGACTTCATCAGACCTGACCAGACTGGGACGAGAAGAGATGTATAGAACTACTTTAGTGTCTCGATGATTGCTGATATTCGTCAGAACCTGTCACTAACGTTTACTCACGTCCGTTTTGAATATTCGTCCCAAATGGAAACAGAACCAAAGATTGCGTTTATTGAAAACGGTATATTCTGAGATCTTCAGAAAGGCTGGAAGTAGGTTTAGCTAGGCCTAGGCTGATATTTAAGCAGCGGCAGCGGAAACCTGTAAGTAGATTTGATCAATACAACGAAAGCGTGCGATACAGAACTCACCGTGGGGAATTGTATCGGTGCACGCTTATCGAGCTCGTTACAAGCACGATAATATTAAAAGCAAAACCTAATCCTGGAGATGTCCAAGTTGCTTTATCCAATAGAGAAACATTCCTCAGAAGATAGCTATCGCCAAATAATGGCGGACTGCTAAATCTCTACGGTACACTTGATTGTGTCCGGTGGACAAGGGTCCTTAAAGGAAGAAGGGAAAAACCTGACGGTAGTTTAGCTACCTGATCGATAAGGTAAGTCGCTACTTGATTTCTGAACCTTGGTGGTTCTGATAGGTATGCCATGGTTATGTACCATGCCTTGATAGTCCTNGTCCTCAATTATACAGGACTGGTTAGAAACTAAACCTATCCTGCTGCTAGTCACCAGCGTATGGTGAAAGTACTTATGGTACGTGATTTGATGATCACGTCCAGCTTGAATGGATCTATCAGGAAACTTAGAGAAAAACAAGAGGTAAGAAGAGAAAAATGCCGTTGCGAAACTGTCGGTTGGAGAATCGCTACATCAGCCTCCCCTGGAAGGGCGGTGATAAGCAAATTTCGAGCAGACAGCCGAGGTTCCGACTTTTGGAGACACCACCTTGTGGTCGTGTCTGTGGTGAAACCACAAACCGGATGTTATAACCATGACCACAAGGGCCCCTGCTTTTTGCCGTACGTTAGTCTAGAGTG